CTAAAAGGCATCCATTATTCTCACACTTTGATTGTGAACTCGCGCGAATCCGGTTGCGCTCTGTAGCCAAGCTTGTATCCTGGCACGATCTCGGTATTCGTTCGATACCACGAGATCGCCAGCAAATATATCTCGACTTGGTCCATTAAATGCCTTCTGATATTTCGCTTCCGGGGGATTTTACGGATTTATTTGGCGCGTGTTTCTCTGTAGCGGTGTTCATAGTCAACCGCGACTCGACACCACGCTACAACTAGTGATCCGAATTCCGGAACACGCCGCAACCTCTGATCCAATCACCCAAAGAAGTCAATTTGGCGAGTCTATTATTTATCTGTCCACGTCTGTCGTATATTTTCATATTACCTTTCAATATATGATATACTCGACATGATGGATATAGGTAAGAATAGTATTGATATAATAGACTCCCATGTACGTGTACCGAATCCTTGGCACTTTTTATTCGCGTGATGGTAAATTCCACGCTTTATTTGAGAAAATTTCACCTATTGACTATTCTCTTCGCTGACCCGGCTACTGGGTACGGAACGCATACGCTCTACTGCCTACCATCCAGCTTCTAACGGTTTAGTTGAAAGGTTTCCACGCCAACTTAAAAGTGCTCTTCAAGCACGCGAAAATGACAATTGGTACGAAACCTTACCGCTCGTCCTCTTAGGTATTCGAATGAGCTTGAAGGCAGATATCCAATTTTCCGCCGCTGAACTTGTATACGGCACGACATTGCGTCTGCCCGGGGAATTCTTCACACCACGGAGCAGACCTGATTTCGGCAAATCAGACTACGTCAAACGACTGTCTGCATTTATACGAACGCTGCCTCCGGTGTCAACTCGAATACAACATCGACTGGTTGCCCTCCCTTGAGAGTGATCTGCCTGTTCACATGTTTTCATACGAGTAGATTTGGTACGCAAACCTTTGCAACAGCCTTACGAAGTCCCTTTTCACGTGATCGCTCGCCACGAAAAGACCTTGGAGGTTGATCGACATGGCCGCGTTGAAATCGCCAGCATTGATCGTCTCAAACCGGCACACGTCGATGACAGTGCCCTATCTGATAACTTGAGATTCAAGGCTAGACCTATACAACCTACTAGCGGGATCCTCAAACCATCTTCAGATCCCATGCTAGATACACCTGAGACCTCATTCTCACGTCCCAGTCAACAGCACGCGTCATCTGCATCATCTACGGACGAAACGACAGTCTCACGTCCAGATCAGCAGACCACGCCGCCCTTGACTTCGGATGAGGTTGCAGGCTCACGCGACACGAATGAGACTACCGTCTCACGTTCCGGTCGCCGAGTACGGTTGCCCGTACGCTTCCGCGACTAGCCGCACAGTTAACAACCGATACGGTGTAGGACTATTCCTATACTACATGCATGCTACACTCTTCTCTTTTTTGATTTTTTTCTGTATCCTGGGCCCACGCCTCCGACCATCTCCGTTTGGTACCGTCGACTTCAGTCAACTTTGGCGAAAGCTGGACTGGCCACCCACGCTCTTGTCAACGCACTCAGTCGATATTTTGGTTTCGAATGCTTGGCACACGCTTGATCTCGAACTTTTTCGTTATGGTCGCTTCTGGTTCCTCGGCCTAACGTGGTTCCGTCCTACGTCTGCAGCGTTTCTGGTCCGCATCACTACGAACGCAATCTTCAGTTTCTGGATATAAACCACTCTGGTGTAGTATGCCAACTCAAGCAACAAATACAGCACACCGCCCCTGGTACCGTTCTCCGAAAAAGAACTTCGTTGGCAACTCGACGATCAATGATCGCTTTCCTGCTCCACAAATTCTTCCGTCTTACAGTCGCTCTTCAGCCGATCAGTCCCACGATTCAAGCCGCTTTTTATCGAAAGTGTAAACCCTTTCTAGCGAGTGGCTCCAGTAGTGACTCATTTTATCACGAGAAAACGATTGGTTTATTGAAAACAATAATTATTATACCCAACTGTACCTGTGCTTGTTTTAACGTGCTTTTGTTTAACTGTACTAAAAAGCATCTATTATTTTCACACTTTGATTGTGAACTCGCGCGAATCCGGTTGCGCTCTGTAACCAAGCTTGTATCCTGGCACGATCTCGGTATTCGTTCGATACCACGAGATCGCCAGCAAATATATCTCGACTTGGTCCATTAAATGCCTTCTGATATTTCGCTTCCGGGGGATTTTATGGATTTATTTGGCGCTACAACAAAACGTATGGGAGTACTCAGAGTTGTTCAAGTGGTAACCTGTGGTTATTAGGGTGCCTCAGGGTTCGATATTGGGACCACGGCTGTTCCTCGGTTGCTTATCAGTTGTAGTGGCCTCTTTTATCAATAAAACGCGATTGGTTTAATGGAAACAATTATTATTACAATCAATCGTGCCAGCGATTGTCTTACTGTACTTGCTTCTTTGACTGTACCAAAGACATTCTTCCTTCCGTTGATTGTGACTTTGCACGCGCTTACGTTTGCTGAGCTATCCCGCTCGTACTCTTTAGGCACGATCTCGGTATTCTTTCGGTACCACGAGATCGCCAACAAATATATCTCGCAACAATCTTCAATGGCCTTCTGATATCTGGTACGCAACCTTCTTGTAGTGGTGATCATAGTCAACCGCGACTCGACGTCACACTGCACAGTCTTGCTAGATATTGAAGATATCAATATATATAGAGCGATTACGAGGAAAGATGATACCTTATAGCTTCAAATTACCTGAATAAAATTGGTAGTTGCCGATAAGTACTTCCGAATGTATTGTGATATATATTGGTCATCAATATACTAATACATAACCGGTGAATAACATCGAGCTACCTTTTCATCAGAATGCACAATGTCTAAAGAGTCATTGTTGGCCAGAACTTAAAAACTACTGCACACTGCTGTACAATATCTGACAAATATTTTAGGGCCCTATGTTCAATACGTAGGATCTTTAGTCATGTCGAAGCTGAGACCTTTTTGACTTTGTATACAATGTCCGTTCGTCCTAGACTGGAGTGCTGTAGACAAGCAGCTAGCCACTGCCTAAAATGAGACAGTCAATTGTTGGAACAGTATCAAAGAGTCACAGCCAAATTGATTACCGGAACAGCTTAGCTCTTTATGATGCTCGACTGGATAAACTCAACTCATTGTCATCGTCATTTAGAAGAACTAAAGGCGACTTGATCACAGTTTTTAAATCGCTCAAAGGTAAATTTGCATCTTATATGTACTCACTTTTCTTGTATTCCAAAACAGAGAATTTACGAAGACACTCTAAAATGTCCACAAGCTTAGAACACATTACTTGTCAACTGACCAATGAGATTCTCGTTGAGTCAACGAATCGAATTCATAACCCCAACGCGTTATTGAGGCTCCATCTGTCAAAGATTTCAAAGAAAGGTGGTTCAAGCTGAGAGACCATCATTGCCAGGACTGACACAGGCCACCCGGCATTTTCAAATTGAAAGAATAAACTGGTATAACAAAAAGTGAGCTGATGTCAGTGGAAGAGTGAAAAATTCAATTACAGTTAGAAATAAATTTTAACATGTCAGAAGAAAACGATACTACTACTACTACTACTACTACTACTACTACTACTACTACTAGGGCCTCTTCTCTTCTTGATCTACATAAATGATCTTCCTCAACAGGTGACGTCAGACTTATTACTTTTTGCTGACGACGTGAAACTTTGGAGAGAGATACGCAGCCAAGACGATACACAGGTACTTCAGGAGGATCTGACTCGACTTCAAAGTTAGGCAGACGATAACGGACTTACCTTTAACACTTCAAAGTGTAAAGTAGTCCATCTGCGACATGTCGCAGACTACAGTTATAACTTTGGAAACTTTTCTCTAGTAGTATCCCAAGTCGAAAAAGATTTAGGAGTCCTAGTGCCCCATGATTTAAAGTCTTACGCTAACTGTGACAAAAATGCCTTCCGAACAAACCTTGCACTGGTAACGTTGAAGCGCATTTTTGGCCAGTTTGATGGAAGAACTTTCCATACAATCTTCAATAGTTTTATCCGTCCCCATTTAGAGTACGGAAACATAGTACTCCCCCCTCACTCCAAAAGGACAAGGTCACTTTGGAGCGTATCCAACGGCGAGCCACGAAATCAGTTCGAGGACTCAAATCTAAGCCTTACGAAGAACGCCTCCATTCACTAGACCTTTACCCATTAGAGTATAGACGTCTTAGAGGTGACCTTCTGATGGCTTATAATATTCTTAACACTTCTGGACATCCTCTTAAACACCTACTTAAGCTTAGTTTGAATAATAACCTAAGGGGTAACACCCAGAAACTGGAAACACAACATAGCAAGACGGAATGTAGACACAACTTCTACTCCTTAAGATTTGTCAAAAGCTGGAATTCGCTGCCGGCCGAGCTAGTCCAAGCGACTTGCCAGGAGTCCTTCAAGAGGCAACTTGACCTATTCTTAAGGACCAAGGATAGTATCACACGATGATTTGCCAATTTCTTTTCCTCTTTTATTGTTAACATACCTAGGTTCCTGCCTGGAGGATTTGGCGATCCCCTGCTACTAGACACGGAAGCCTGTTAAGCGAAAGCTTCTTCTATTCCGTCCACAACCATTTGAACCATTTGAACCATTTACAAGTTTGTAATTGTTGAAATAAAGCCGCCTAGTTTGAAATTGCGCGACATCAATGTGGTTGAAGGCGTCACAACCATTGCACGTGTGTTGGTTTATAGAGGTAGATTTCGGCACGAACATTCGGGCTCAGTGTAGCGACTAAGTGTCCTGTCGGGTAGTAGTTAGTTGTTGATCGAAACTCATCCTGGACCGATTGAACGGTCGAATTCGTGAGATTACTCGTCTTGATTTCATCTCTTGAAATTGTCCTCAAAGGATTCTCGAATCGAGGTCTCTTTCTCTTACCTGTCCGTGTTTCTCGTAAACAAAATCGCTAGAAAAAGAACAATGCGTATGCAAAAATGTCTTTTACATATATCAACTCTATTTTCGGTAAGAGTATTATAAACTGTTAGTTTCTGGACATTCCTGAAAACTAAAAGCCTAATGCTACTTTTTGTAAAATATTGTTCAACCATATGAATATGTCCAAAAATATGATATGATAATTGTATGTGGATATAATTATGTGTGGCGCATTTTTATTTGATGTCCTCTTGTACCAATAATTGTGTTCAAATAAATAACTAAGTAGAGAGTTATGATGTCTATTAAAATAAGTATTGCTATAACGCAGATGATAATGATGCCTCATAATAATCATAAATATCACATAATCACCTCCGTATATTCATATATATATACTCATATGTAAAGACGTTCTAACAGTGATTGATGAGTAACAATCAAAAATATTCACATCTGTAATAGCGAAAATATACGTGTTTAGGTGTGGTGGGATGATCAAGCAACTAGATGTAAATAATTGTATGATCAATGTGTGCGATCTATTTCATTAATTTAGACACATGGACATTGGTACAAGGAGGCATCAAATATATATGCGCCATATTTCGTCATTCGATTTGTATGAGGGTTGGGATACTGATCGGGTGCCCAAACCGAAGCAGGTGGTTTTCTTCGATGGCCACCCCCGAGCCTTTGACCTAAAGGTTTAACCTGGAAGGTAGTGGAGCAACGTTAGGCGATGCAGTCTGATGGTATCTGGTGACCAACAATAGGTTCATACACCATTTGTTTTCTCATTATCCTGTAGTCTATGTGCACTACTGGTTTGGAGTCAGGGTTTCCCTACGTGTGACCATGTGAGAGCTGGCTCTCCCCACTCTTGGCCGTACCAGGACACTTGGGCTCATTGTGTGTGAACAAGAAATAAGCTGTCAGTGTTAGCGCACTGAATTGACTGACCGACTTTCCACTTATCACTTTGTCGTACTTTTTTCTTATTAAATCGCGAAGTGAACGTAGCGAATCATGAACGGATGAGTTTACTTGCTAGAGGTTCACTAAGAGCATGGATTGAGTAGTAGTTGTTAGTGAACTTCTCTAGCAGATCTTCACTCCCTGTAGAGATTGACAAGTTGTCCAGCGCACGAAGAACCAAGTCCATTATGTATTTCCTTGTCCACCGGCTGATATGTCGAAATAAGTCTACAATGCGTATAGAGACAAAGAAACACCTCCACGAATTAGATCTTTAGAATGTGCATACAAAATATGACCATAGTGCGGCATGTAGTCATTGAAATGCTCACGAGCACATTATGCATGTGAAGTATCAACAAAATACATCATACCCTTGTCGTAGCAGCGGATGTATTCTCCTGCTATAAGTTCGTGTCTCATTTTCCTAACACGTTTATAATTTACAGCCACAATTTTAGCTGCAAAAGCTGTGAACTCATTTAAAATAATTCGGAATGACATTGGAACCTGAAATTAATGATACATTTAACTATATTTCTTACCTGAAAAATTGGAAAACGTTGAAGATCCTTTACAGCCTCATATGGACGCAAACGTAGGTCAGTGTCTGTTTTACTCCAAATTTTCCAGAACGTCAATAGCAGAGAATCACCTCTTCTGTGACATTCTTTTAGGTGTTTATGAGCACTTTCGACACGGTTGTTTTTGTCGTTGCCCAGGCTTAATACATGTTGCCAGTAACAGCGAGCCCACATTGACTTCCGGGCAATCGAGTAGTTTTTTATATAATCATACGCCCGTGAGAAATGGGTCCTTATACGTTCGTACTTCTGAATATAGTGCGTTATGAAGAGCAAAGCTCACATGTCAGACTGTCTAGTCTTCACCAGGTGTTCCAAGCATTTGTGCACATCAGGAATTCGGAACTACAGAAAATAATTTGTACAACTAACACATACCTTCTTGAAAAATGCTCTTAGGACATGGAATGAACAAAGTATTATGTTAGAATGACTGTGCGTAGACTGCACAGCTGAAATTTCGGTCGCTGCCGAATCCATAATGAAAGTGCGTGTATCATAAGTACCGCACATTATCTCTTTAAAGCATTCCAATAGTTTTTCGACATCTTCGCGTCGTTCTTGACTGCAGAGAGCATACATAACAGTGTGCCATTGCCCAAGACTATCAGTCACCACTAGCTGGAACAGTGGAAAACTTTCAGATAAATTTATTACTAGTCGTTACTTACCCAACTTTGTTGGTCTGATAAGTCGAATCAATGCATATTACCTCCGGGAACGCGTGGTAAACAGCTATTTGCTCTCTGTGGCTGAAGCAAATCATAGACATGTTCCCATTTTCATTGAATACTTTAACTTCAGTATTTGCTTGAACGCGCTGTAAAATGTCATTGATATTTTTAGTGTCTAAACTCAATTAATTACAATGTGAGTTCAACAACCTGGGTATAACTGTGAACACATTTTAGCGATATCGTCCTTGGTAAGCTGTTTATGGAACTTCCAAAAAACCATATGCCGTAAGCTACGAGTTGGTGTATTACTCAGTAGAAGTGTTCTTAAATACAAGCGTTCATTTGACGTTAACTGTCGTCTCGATGGATCGACAGAAATATATCCTTCTGCGCAAGGATGGTTGTGCACGGTTTTAATAGAGGTGACTTTCAGCTCACCATTTACTGCCCAGAACCGAAACGAAGATTGACAATGGCAATATTTCGACCTGAAGAATAAATTCATTTGAAGTAAGGCATACGTAGATGACTGATGTCGTCTCCTTTGTCTAGGTTGTGGTGGTGAGTTCGAAACCGTATGTCATCACCATTCTTCCGAAGAGCATACAACTCCCGGAAGTCAATGTGGGCTCGCTGTTACTGGCAACATGTATTAAGCCTGGGCAACGACAAAAACAACCGTGTCGAAAGTGCTCATAAACACCTAAAAGAATGTCACAGAAGAGGTGATTCTCTGCTATTGACGTTCTGGAAAATTTGGAGTAAAACAGACACTGACCTACGTTTGCGTCCATATGAGGCTGTAAAGGATCTTCAACGTTTTCCAATTTTTCAGGTAAGAAATATAGTTAAATGTATCATTAATTTCAGGTTCCAATGTCATTCCGAATTATTTTAAATGAGTTCACAGCTTTTGCAGCTAAAATTGTGGCTGTAAATTATAAACGTGTTAGGAAAATGAGACACGAACTTATAGCAGGAGAATACATCCGCTGCTACGACAAGGGTATGATGTATTTTGTTGATACTTCACATGCATAATGTGCTCGTGAGCATTTCAATGACTACATGCCGCACTATGGTCATATTTTGTATGCACATTCTAAAGATCTAATTCGTGGAGGTGTTTCTTTGTCTCTATACGCATTGTAGACTTATTTCGACATATCAGCCGGTGGACAAGGAAATACATAATGGACTTGGTTCTTCGTGCGCTGGACAACTTGTCAATCTCTACAGGGAGTGAAGATCTGCTAGAGAAGTTCACTAACAACTACTACTCAATCCATGCTCTTAGTGAACCTCTAGCAAGTAAACTCATCCGTTCATGATTCGCTACGTTCACTTCGCGATTTAATAAGAAAAAAGTACGACAAAGTGATAAGTGGAAAGTCGGTCAGTCAATTCAGTGCGCTAACACTGACAGCTTATTTCTTGTTCACACACAATGAGCCCAAGTGTCCTGGTACGGCCAAGAGTGGGGAGAGCCAGCTCTCACATGGTCACACGTAGGGAAACCCTGACTCCAAACCAGTAGTGCACATAGACTACAGGATAATGAGAAAACAAATGGTGTATGAACCTATTGTTGGTCACCAGATACCATCAGACTGCATCGCCTAACGTTGCTCCACTACCTTCCAGGTTAAACCTTTAGGTCAAAGGCTCGGGGGTGGCCATCGAAGAAAACCACCTGCTTCGGTTTGGGCACCCGATCAGTATCCCAACCCTCATACAAATCGAATGACGAAATATGGCGCATATATATTTGATGCCTCCTTGTACCAATGTCCATGTGTCTAAATTAATGAAATAGATCGCACACATTGATCATACAATTATTTACATCTAGTTGCTTGATCATCCCACCACACCTAAACACGTATATTTTCGCTATTACAGATGTGAATATTTTTGATTGTTACTCATCAATCACTGTTAGAACGTCTTTGGATATGAATATACTTACGGTCAGTCAGCTATGACTTAGGACCAGGCACGTATATGCATTGGTCCATACCACATTAGCACAAGATGAATATCGAAGCCATAGTAGTTAGTTGTTTGGTGGTAATATTTCTTATAAGGACATAAAACAGGAAGGAAGATGTAGTTAGCAGAAAGTTGTGAAGCGGTTTTAATTTCACGCTGTAAGGCATGACAAAGAGTGTATACACGTACGCCATTGTGATCAATTATGACCCATGACATTCAGTCTCCAACCATTGATTACGATAGTCACGAGGACCCCAACTAAATAGCCTGCATCTACCATCATGGCTAAGACTAGAACTTAGTGGCTCCGAGCTCTGATTTCACGTTTTGGTTTGATCGTCTGTAACTTCCTCCCAACCAGCATCGCGCGTCGTGGCAATCGGTGTCCAAGCATACGTAACACCGTGGCCCAACCATTTTAGTCGTTGAAAATTCACAACTTCGTCAACTGATTTAGCACCACTCCCTAATACCCTGCGTCTAACCTCACTGTTACTTACCTGGTGGTCCCAGTAGATGCCAGCAATATTTCTAAGACATCTACGGTCAAATACTAATAGCTTATGAATATCTTCAACTCTTAATGACCACGTTTGGCAGCCGTAAAGTAAAACAACGGTATGCTGCGCAGTATACTCATCCCTTAATTGATAGACGGAGCTGATTATCTCACAATTATTACCATTATATGCCATCATTATCATTAGCGTTTTTTCCTCTTGGTAATACTCAACTAAATGCACAGTATAACTCTGTACATCAACATACACTTAACATGTTATATTTCTTGACATATTTTTGTGTTCGAATACTATTTCTCGTAAAGCAGTAGTACAATCTTTTGTGTTCATTACTCATATTTTTCGTAACGCCACTTAATGTGCACATTATTTTTTAAATCTGACTTTGGTTTTTCCGTTACCGATCTGTATCAACTCCTAGGACACACTGATTAACTCACAAATACACTGCTCCCCATACATTCCTCGTCTTCATCATCTCATCAGCTGCTACATTGACAAATCAGTAATATGATTGCTGTTTACTTTTACAGGTCACATTCCTGTGGTTAGTATAGGATTTTTTCTGATATACATCGATTTGGACTATATATACCGTGTTTGGTATTAATTACTTGTTTCAATTGTGCGTCACATGATCAAGACCCGAACACGCTAGACCTGAAAATAAAGGTAACGTTAAGACTTTTTAGATTTATATATTTTGTGAGTTATTAACTGTCTTTACATTCCGTTCATTAAATTTTTCACTATTTTCATATTAATACTTTTAGTCCGCCACAGAGCAAACGGTCTCACAATGTGTTCACTGGCTCACTTCTGCTGCATATAAGGTTTTGCAAACCAATGGCTTTGTAGAGCATGTTTTTCACGAGATCTCTGGTAATACTCAGGGAATTGAGCTATTGAACACAGCTAGGAAGCTTCAGCAGATCAATGATAAGTTGTAACGAACGTGGAGCACCTGAAAAATTTCAAAGAAGTCATGTGCCATAGTTAACCCTGCTTCAAATCTGAATAAAACTACCATGACATCCTCAAAATGCAGTAGATTATAAGCACATTGATGCAGAAAAGGAATAAGCGTGTGCAGAAGCGACAAAGTACAATGAGCTCCAAAAATTGTGTCGCCAGATACACCCTTAGAATGCTAAATCAACGCTATGGTTTTGCCACAGCCTGATCTGCACAATGTAGATTTGTTTGAAAATCAAAATAAAGTCAATGATTAGCTTTGGCAACTAGAAAAGCGGAGGCCCTTACATTCTTTGCTGAACCGGACTGCGGGGAAGAGTTTAAGCTCAAGAAATGCAACCTCAGTCATCTTTGAAAAACTAGAAAAATTTCCTGAAAAGGACTAAAAGGCTAGTTTGAAAAACAATGTAAACCATATTGATTCACTAATAAGCAAACTATGCTTCCACTAAGGAGCAAAAATCTACTATTGGAAAAGTCACAAAAACTGGTTGGATCCGGAATCTATATCGGCGTTGATCTAAGCCTGGTTGATCTTATGATTTCATTGCCATGTCTGAAAAATGGCTAACATCAGTAGTGTGTGACATTAAAACTCAGTCGTTTGGTTCCTTATTATGTAAGACCGACAGATTAAACCGTAGGGGAGTTCGCGTCATCTTAGTCTTTCTACTTGACTCTCCCGATTTGTTGAAAACATTCTGTCTTTCCCGAGGTCTGGTGCAGTAGGACGTGACTAAATTGTTGCACTCGTTGATTCTTAAAGTTGAGCTGCAGTTATTCCTGATAAATCTACTTTCATAATAGTTTTCCAACTGGAAACTTTATCCCATTTACTTAACTCGCTGTTTCAGTTGCCTTCGGACATAGCTCCTACTTATGAATTTCTCTGTGTGAGCACCTTTCGGGTTGCTTCTTTTTGAACATGTTTCAAGATAAGATAACATGATATGGCAGTTTATTTCGAGACCAGGTCTAAAGAAACACTAAAAATGGTTTTGACTAATTCCGGACTACCGTTTTTCAAAAGGAAACTCCAAGAAAAAACGCTTTACTAACTGCGGAACATTCACTATAAAAAAACACATACTAATGGCTTGGTCCGTTTCTACCATCTAATGTTGAAATCACATCAAACAGTACAAGTTTTATGTGTCGCTACTGCTCAGCGGTGGCACTTGTTGGAGTTAAAAGAGAGTAATTTTCTAATGGTCCAATAGTCGATCCTATTCAAATCATATTGAAATCATCCGCATATTACCGGCTTACTTGGTAGATCGTCCATCAACAATAGAAATGGTCCAAAAGCTGTTGATATGGCTTCACATTTTCAGCCATTATTGTCAGTGGTAGAAACATACAGGATGAAGGGGATTTTTTATATCCTTTGTAGTAAACCTGCATCTTTAGTGTGATACTTTATTATTATTTATTTTACTTGAGCAAAAACATTGGTACAAAGAGGCATTTCACTAGGATTATTCATATTTCTCAATTTAATGAATTTTTGTTTATTTTCAAAGATGTCAGTAGAAGATTGTGAAAATGAATTACTTGCACTGGAATCCATTTATGAAGATAAGTATCAACTTGTACAAACTACACCTAGACGAAAAATAAAAGTAAATCTAAATGGTCAGTCAGATGATTCACTGTCAACTAAAGTTCGATGTCAGCTTCTTTTTGAACTTACAAGCAATTATCCAAATAAACCACCTAAATATCAAATACTTAAACCTGAAAATCTTTCAGACGAAGATATTTCCGATATAAATATTATAATTAATGAAGTAATTGAACGATCCCTAGGATTTGTAATGTTATTTGACATATTAACAGAAGTTCAAGAAAAATTAGATAGTATCTGTTCAAAAATCTTAATTCGTCAGCGTAATGAAGCTAAAGAAAAACGAAAAGCTATACAACTAGAAGAAGAAGCGAAATTCCGTGGTGATAGAGTTACAGTGGAGTCGTTTCTAGAATGGAATACAAAATTCCTTGCAGAAATGGAATCATTAAAAGAGAAGTCAATATCTGAAGATCAAAGTGCTGTTAAACGACTAACTGGACGTGAGCTATTTTTGAAAGATAATCATTATGACGATTCCGATTTGACCTTCTTGGAAACTAATGGTGGCGAAGTTGTAGAGATTGATGAACATTTATTTGTTGACATTGGCGATATAGACCTGGATGATGATAATGATGACGATAATAACCAAGTAGTTCTGACGGGAACAGCCTGAACATATATACTTTGTACAAATTAATTCACTCCAAAAGTATCATTGCTTTTATTTTAACAGTTCTCTTCCGGTATGTAAAGACAAAGATATACAAAGTTGGAAATAGACTTCTATGACTATGTAAATTCTAAAAACTGTAACTTCCTGATTTCACAAACTTGACGTTACATTTACTAAGTGTCATACGAATTTGGCGACTATAAATTGTTAACTTGCAAAGCTTTAGTTTCGTGTTCTAAAACCTAAAATAATTATTTAAATAAGAGTATACAACTTGGAAACCAAAGGCAAATTCGTCCTCATAGTTAATATTTTTGGAAATAAATATGCCTACTGCATAAATCTTTGTTACTGAGGCGAGATTCAATTTCTAGTTTTCGTACACCATCAATACTTTCTGTGTGTTTATTCCTAAGGATTTTTTTGAATTTCGGAAAGAAATTGCTCCCTGAACTTCTAAAGGTCCTTCAACTAATGTCAGTTTATGTTGAAGAACTAATGCTCTTATGATGTTCATGTAGATAATTCCTAATTAAAATGTAGTTGTAAGCTTATTATGTCAATAAAGACGCTCCAACAATGCGAATATTGCTGTGATACGGGCTTACACATACCAGACCTTACCAGTTATTACCCCTTGCATTTAGAGATTTCCACTGTTTAAAGTAAGTCATTCCTTCACCATATTCCCTGAAACATTTAAAGTTACTTTAGTTTGCTTTATATTAAGTACTGTCTGAACTGTTAGTGAAATTATACAGTAAGCGTTCCAATCTTAATAATACGAATTTTTACGATAGAACAGTGAAAAAACGGAGTTGATCTGAAAAATGTGATGTATTTGCGATATACATTTCGAACAATCGGGTCACACATATACTTGTCAAGGCATTTTTATATAAAAATTAATAAAGGTCAATTAAATGAAAGTTCAAGTAAAATAACAAAGGGGAGAGAAAGAATAAGAAATTGTCGCGCTATCCTAGGCCATAAAATGACTTAAGGATTACCAAGGTTAATTCAAGGTTACGACAAATTGTCTTTGTACACATAAAGGGGCTTTAAATTTACGAATAGCCAAGGTTTCAATAAACTTAAGAATTCGTCCTTGACAATTTCTATACAACGTTCTAAAAGCTGTATTAATGTCAATTTCCTGCCCCGTCTCAATTATGTTTCGCCATCGATGAACCTAGTTTTCTACCTCCCACATTGATTTTGAAGCCATCTAGGCACATGTTCATTGACCCTTGATTGCATTGTTCGATTACTCCTTCCTATGTATGTGTGTCCACACAAACAAATTGGTAAATACAATGGGATGTGACGTAATCATTAGTGCATTGTTTGGGTCTATCAGGAACCATGGGCTTAGACTTTCCAACTGAGCAGCATAATAGGTATTCTCGATGGCTGCTTTCAACCTCTGTCCGAAAACTATGCTGTTGGATTCGCTTCTATATGGTAAATTGATATAAACTTTTTCTTTGGAACTAAATAAACAAGAGGTCTTAGCATTAACTGACTTTTGCATCTATTAATAGACTTTATTGGATAACCATTTGCTATTAATGTGTCAGTCAGTATCTTTTCATCTTTTTCCAACGTGTCAAAAGTACAAATTATCTGAGTCCTCTTAAAGAGACACTTAACCAGACCTCGCTTGTATTGCAATGGACAAAAACTATGGAAATTTAAGTACTGTCCCGTCCACGTTGGTTTCCTATACACTGACCGTCTAATATTATCATCATCCCTTCGACTTAAAAGTATGTCTAAAAAGGCCAATTGGCCATTACTTTCTGATTCATATGTCATTACAATATCATCTTGAACACCATTGAGTTTATCCAATAATCGGTAAACATCAAAATCCTTATCACGCATAATTAGAATATCGTCCATGTATCGTTTATATAGAGTTGCCTCACTAATAAGCTCGCTCGTCATATTTTCCACATACGACATGAAAACATCAGCTAAGAGAGGCTCCAAAGGGCTACCCATAGCTACACCATCAAACGTGAATTGAACATTAGCAGTAATTCTTTCAAAAATGGTAACGGATTGAACGCCATAAACAATGAGTTCAGTTCTCCCAAATTTATATGGATTACCTAAAATTCATAAGCTTAATATTCCATTACGACCAATTTTGTCTATGCGCGGTTCCCCCACACATGAGTTAGCTAAATGGTTAGTAAAATTGTTAAACCCAATTTATTAATTTTCATATAAAAATGCCTTGACAAGTATATGTGTGACCAGATTGTTCGAAATGTATAGCGCAAATACATCACGTTTTTTTCAAATAAACTCCGTCTTCTCATTGTTCTATCGAAATTCATAAAAGGGGCTAATTACTAATTATTAAACGTGTCGTTATTTAAGTTGTGTAGTTAGTTTAAACAGAACGTTTTCGCTACGGTGCAATACAGTTATTTTGATATTAATCTAACAACTATCCGTCAGCAAAACACTGATCAATTTCAAAGTTTTTACTTTTTTATTTTACGTCTTTTAATATACTTAGGAATTTTATGTTTTCGCTTTTCAGCTTGTTCTTGTTTGATTGCTTTTTTTCTATTCCTACGACTTTCTGGAGATTCATTTCGAGGTCGTGCATTATTCTTTGCTTTAATTACATCTTCGCTAATAGATTCAAAAGAATTTTCTGAAGTGATTGAAGCTTTGTCTGTAATTGATTCATTGTCCGATTCACATTCATTGTTTTCTTTGATCACTTGAGGTTGTGTTAAAATGCCTGTTAAATCTGGTTTTAGTCCAGTTATAGCTGCGTAGTAAATATCAGAATGTGACAATTGTCCACGTTGTATTTTAAGAAAATCTCTCACAAATGGATAAGATACTGATAAATTTCGAGGGATATGTACATATCGAAAAGCTTCATCCTCTTTTTCAATTGTTTCATTTAATCCACGAATTGAAGCTTCTCGAAGTAAAGACATTAAACACTCTTTAGATGATGCATCATCGGGTGCAGGCAATGAGGGATTCACTACCCATTCGAAAAGTTCTCGTAATGTTAAAGTTGAGACACCTTGTTTGCGAAAAAATATATTTATATTGTGACAATCAGTTCTTAAATATTCAAGAGCTTGAGGCGATTCATGTTCCACAGCCTATAAAAAGTAAATGAAGTTTACTAGTGAAAGATATAAACAACTTTTACTCTAAAGATGTTTGCATATTCCTACTGAAAACGGATGCTATTTGCCTTGAAAGGTGAAAAACTGTACATCAGTGGGCTTCAAGTAGCATAAGATGAACTTAGTTGTACTGGGGAATATACATATTCGTTCGTTGTCTCTGTCTAGATTTTTTCATGAAGATTATGGCAATCCAACTGATTTGGTAAGATACTTAAACAACTCAGTCACTCATACTTAGTGTAGAATTCGGCACATATATGGATCGGTTAAAGGTGCTACAACAAATTAGTACAGCAGTATGTTGGAGCAGTACAAGTAACATTAGTAGAAATGACTAGACAGAAGTGGCTGGAGAAGGGATAATTAATTTGTGTAATTAAACAAAATCTAAAAACATTAAGAAAATTAGGTCCTAAAGGAAGAAAGAATGAATACGCAAACAATTTTGGCCCATGTTACTGATCACGGTTGTCGTTCGAAACTAAACCAAGTAATGTGTATTTACTAAAATCGCCTTAGATTAACAGACACTAACTTCATGGACTGATACCATCGTGGTTTAATTACTGCTAACTCTTCCAACTCACTTCTACTTTAGCATTGAGGTATGTGGTGGTCGAGCATATATAATACATATCCTAAACACCTCAGTAGATGAAGGTTTGTTGCCTCACCAATTGGCTGACCACCTTTGATTGGTACCTTGAGCTTAGCTGCAGCATTCCTCATTTGGTGATCCCAACATACACGAACCATGTTTTAAAGGCATCTATGACCAAATACTAATGACTTGCAAGTATCTGCTATTTTTAAAGACCGACTTTCGCACCCACAGAGCAAACCATAGTGAATCGCTGAGCAGTATACTTGTCCTCCAGTTGGTGGACAGGCAATCGCCAACCCGATAAGTGACGTAAGTTGGAAAAGTCAACCGAGCTGTATGTATCCGTGCAGAAACCTGGTCAGACACCAAGTAATTAGGCCCAGGTATGGTCGAGAGTGGGGTGGGCCCTCCCTCTCGAAATGCTCTCACACGGCCACGCGTATACAGCCCCTGCTAGGGAAATCCTCATCACTGCCTTCCCGTGGCAGGCGTGTTTGCGAAAGTGAGAGGACGAAAAGCAAATGTCCGGCGCTATAATCGGATTCCAAATCAATGGTGCATATGAGCTCCAGTATCCTGCCGGAACGAATGGCATGTGAACCAATCGTTGGTCACCGTCTTCCATGGGAATGCACCTCCTCACGACGCTCCACCGCCTTGTGGGTCAGAACTTCAGGTCAAAGGCTCGAAGTGTGGCCCCCTACGAAAACCACCTGCTCCGGTCTGGGCACCCCAGCACTATCACAGCCCACACACAAGTATGAAGAAATGTCGAGATTTATGGAAAATACCTGTCTTGCTTCGATTAACAATCAAACGATCCACATTATTATTATTACCATTATTATATTTTTACGTCATTTATTCCCACTCTGTGTATCCTTATTTTTCGACTTATACAGCAGATCGCCTATGGTGGAAATTTGGTTCTGTCTACACGCTCTCGAGTCACTGCCTGGTTGAAAGTTGTATGCTACCACTAAATACGAATACTGAAGCAGTTTTTCTAAAACCAAGTGCACCAGTCTGGCTGTAAAAGGTCGGATCTACAACGCGTCGGTGAGAGCAGTTCTGCTCTATACTTGTGAAACCTGGTCTCTCCGAGTTGAGGACGTTAGACGACTCTCTGTGTTCGATCATCGCTGTCTCCGAAGGATTGCTGACATTCAGTGGCAACACCATGTTAGTAATGCAGAGGTTCGGCATCGTGTGTTCGGGCACAGAGACGATAATGTAATTGGTATCACCATCTTGAAACACCGACTTCGGTGGCTTCAACATGTTCTACGAATGCCGTCCCACGTTCCACGTCGTGCATTATTTGCCGACGCTGGGACTATTTTTCTTCTTTTAGAATCTGAGTCCTGAAACCTGCCTGTACCTTTATCTCGTTTTTCTTTACTTAATCTTTACTACTATTGCTACTGTTACTTCTCCTGTTACTCTGGGATTTGTCCTGGAATAATTCGTCCTTGAGGCAGTGTAGTATTGCAAATTGACCGTATGTACATGTCAGGTTCTAAGTCGCATATGATTGACTGAGATTCTTAAGCTGCTAGTTAATATACCAAAACGAAACTGACACTGCAAGAATGTGGATAGGAGTAATTAGTTTTCTAGCTTCTTCATGGAGTATTTTAGTTTTAATCTGTAGCTAATTGAAGCAATTTAACGTCATTGTTCATTGGTGTAATGAAATAGCAAAATCGCCATATGATTATGTGAAGATATTTAGACATGTTTTTTTCATTCTTTGACTTTCGGACATGTTTGTATCGGCAAGTTTTTTACTTAATGCTGAGAATAAAGTGCCTACTTAACTTAGATTAGAAAGTGACGAAATCGGGTCATAGAGCTAGGACGAGATTGCTAAAATACTAACTTAGGGAAGACATTTGTAGTCTGCTTCATTTCCCCATACAGTTAAAAAGCATAGTTGTTGAGGCTACAAATACACAACACTACTCTGGCGAAATCACCGAGTGAAGACCTTAGAAATTGATTTGATGGGTTAGTAACTTCTTAAGTGTTGCTTCCAAAATAATTTGTGCCCATGTTTTGTTTACTAGTACATAACTCAAAAGATGGACAGATTGGTCAGTTTACTTGCTTTGAAATTACTATTTTTAATAATACTGATGACTACATGGCGAAGGCCATCAACAATCAGTCAGTGAAATGGAACGCAAAACCTGGCATATGTGTTACATAGGTTCAATTCGACAAACCTCATTAGCACAACGAGGGCGAATCCCATAGTAGTAGAAATAGTAACAATACTAGTGGTAATAGAAAAGATTGGGTATCAGAGATACAATTCGAGAAAATATAGATTAGTGGGGTTAAATTAGTGATAAATTCAGAAACTTAAGTGAAGACAAGGAGTGCACCTTCTCTACTAAAAAGTATTCTGAACCATGTCACCCTTATAAATAAATAATATATTTGTAATATCCCAATGAGTAGAAAAATTAGATTTTCTGACGTTTCGTGACTTAGTGTAAGTCACTTCTTCAGAGAATAAATAACCAAATTCAGAAAATCTACTTTCTCTACCCATTGGGATATTCCAAATATAGTATTTATTTATAACAATCTACCCAATGCTCAATTTATCCGAAATTATCAAATCAAACCTTGGTAATGATACCTGCATGTCACTCTTAGTCTCTTATCACTGGTCACAGTAATCACGGACCACAACCAGGTAGTCTGTAGAAATGAAAGACTTGTTTAGTGTTTGGCAATATCGCTTTCGAATAACCTCTAGAATACTAAATAGTTTCAAAAGTAATAGAATTTAAAACCTACGAACAATGTAATACAAAATCTCACTAGTCAGTTTAGTAGTGAATACCTACCTGGGAAACATCAATCATCCAAACTCTTCCATCAAGATATAGTAAGTTGTATTCGCTTAGGTCGGCGTGGACTAAGCGACACTTTTGAAACAAAGTTCGTATATCATGAATAACTTGAAAGTACAAGGCAGCCCAATCGGGCGAATCTTTGCAATCGCTTTCGTGAAAACAAACATCCTTTAACTTTGGAGCGGGAATACCATCCTTCCCAACAAACGTCATCAATAGAACAACACCTTTCAAACGTAGAGGTTTGGGGGCACTTATTAAACCCGATTGATTTATTCGGAGTAAATTGCGATATTCTTTTTCACTCCATTTACATACAAGCTTCCAAGATGTTGACTTTGAGTAACCATGACGCATTCTAAAATCACCCTTTACGTATTTATCGCGAGATTTAAATGGCATTATTGATGTCATATAAACTTTGATAGCTAAATCCACATTCTCTTTATTTTTTACATGATATATGTTTGCTTCTTTT